CATCAACCCGCCCCCAACATTGGTGGGGGTAGAAGAGCTCGGGCCCGTCCCCGCGCTCAGCCGTCCGCCCAGCACCTCCAACCTGAGCAGCCCGAGCCTCAACAAGGTGAGATTTTTAAATTAGCATTTTTTTTTTTTTATAATTCAATTTATAATTTCTTTTTTCAATCGAATTACTCAGATGAAGAAGAGGAGGATGAGCAGGCTTTTCAAACTGACACGCTTCTCACACCTCAACCTTCGTCTTCTTCTCACGTGGTATATACTCGGAGGGGGTCCAGACCGCGCAAACCTACACAACCATTCACTCCTTCCTAGTTAGTTGTGTTGAATTTGTAGATTTTGTGTTTATTTTGAATTGTTGGATTGTCTGTATAAACCGAATTATATCGTTTTGTATATATTGTTTGTTCGGCAATTATTGTGTTTCAATTTTTTGTTCGGCAAATTATGGTATGATGGATTTGGTTGTGAGCAGGTATATTTTTTTGTTGTGAACAGGTGTATTTTTTGGTTGTAAACAGGTGCATTTGATGGTGAACAGAATTTTGTATAAAAACGTATTTGATTAATACGTTTTCTATTTTTTTAATACAAAAAACGTATTTCGTAAATACGTTTTGTGTTGAAATTAAAATTAGGGCAAAGAATGTCAATTTGGGGCAAAATTATAAAGTAAAACGTATTTAGCAAATACGTTTTATATTCTAAAACTTTTTATCCCAAAAAAATTATTTTCGCGAAATGAGAAAATTAATTTTATTTATAAAACGCATTTCTTAAATACGTTTTATGATTAAAAAAATAATATTAAATTAATTTTAATATAAAAACGTATTTATTTAATACGTATTGTTGTTTTTGAATATAAAACGTATTCAGCAAATACGTTTTGCTATAGGTTAATTACGTTGATTACGATAATTAACTTTAATAAATTTTGTTTACAAACAACGTATTCACTAAATACGTTTTATAATTGAAACCGTATTTAGCAAATACGGCTTATAATAGAAAACGTATTCAGTGAATACGGGTGTTCTATTTTGGTCCACTAGATTTTTTTTTCTTTCTTTTTTGTCCAGTTCATTTTTTGTTTTTTTTTTTTAAGTAAATAAATCGAGTAAAGTCCGGAGTATTTGTATTAAGTGGAGAGAATATATGGTAAACAAATGAAAAAAAATGAACTGAAACAATAAAAAGGATAATATAAACTTTTTCACAAGACTGAATCACAGGGGCAGGTCTCCTATAGTCTCCAAATCAATATTAACGCCAACGATAAAAAGGCAAGTAATGAAAGGAATGGCGCAATTGGGAGGAAACAACTACATGGGGAAACAAATGCAAACAGGAATGTGCATTATTTCACACACCAACGTGCATAGATAAGCATAAAAATGAACCACCACAAGAATGGCCAACCACCAAAAGTCACCGTGCCAAATATTCTCAATAAACGATCATCAAGACAATCATATACGATATTACCTTCACAGTAATACCCATATACTAAACATACGCAAATCTCACAAACTAGAACTTGTGGAGTTCAAATAGCTTGGAATACTTCAAAGTATATGAATCATTTGGCAAACTGCTCAATAGCTGAAACAACTTCACCAATGCTATGGAATTTCTTCCTCTCCTTTAGAAGGGTCTTAGCACAGTTAAGAGCCTTGCGCTCGCATTCTGCTCGTTTGCTAGCCTCCTTGATTGACTCAAAATCCTCAACATGAGCAACACCCACTATTCTCCTGAAAATCGAGCAGCAATATTGAATATCAGAGGTCTTAGTTTACAAATGATTTTCAGCTTCCGCTAATAACATTTAACAATGATCAGTAGCAAAAGGGGTCTCTAAGGACACAGTGTTACACGAGGGTAGAATTATGGAACCACGACAGATAATATCCCCATGGTGCAAATTTTCTATGACTTGGCATATGCTTCAATTCTAAACTTGCATCTATATATGGCAATAACTTGTAATAATGAACACAAACGCCAAGTGCTATTTGTATTTGTAAGATTACTACAGCTTTTTCAAACTCCAGGAAGCTTTTGTAGTTATCCTTATCCACACAAATATTGCATTACATAATGTATCTGGCACTTGATGACGTCCCAAGCCAGCAAAGAACACTAAGTAATGCATACACCAGTTCTTATGAATGTTTACACCAGCATCTATCACGAAGAAGGTTAACATGGCTCTTGCTAGTAACTTAGCTCATATGGCATATCAATATTAAATTCTAAATGGGGGCACTAATTAGCAAGAAATTTGGGAAATTGCAACCGACATACCGGAACAAATAAAGAAAGCATTCGTTTGGGATTTTGAGTGACATTTTAAGACTTCTTAGAATCCGAGATTTCTTGAGATTTGTTTGAAATCTTAAATCTAATGTATTCATTCCAAATTCATAGACTTTTTAGGATTTTCATAATCCTAGTGTATTCGTTTGAGATTTTAAAAGGTCTTAATAAATCACGATTTATTCCTTTGAGATTTAAAAAGGTCTTAAAAAGTCATTAGGTATACAATTTATTTAGCACTTATGATTGGACTTCTTAAGACTTTCTAAGATTTCAAATACAAAATTACATAAATAAAATCTTACACAAAATCCCACCTACATGCATGAGATTTTTAACAATTCGAGTTAAATAAAAGAATCTTAAAAACTCTAAAAAAATTCTCGGATTTTAAAAAGTTTTAAAAAAGTCACTCAAAATCCCAAACGAACACTTAGGAAGATTTGGTGGTGAGATTTGACATGTGTAATTTTTGTTTGAAATCTTAAAAAGTCCTACCGAAATCCCAATGTTAAATTAGTTAATAACAAAAGGATTTGTTAAGTTAACACTTTTTGAAATCTCAATTGCATACCTCAAAACTTTAAAAAAGTCTTGCATAAATAAACCCCAATTTATAAAATCTATAAGTCTTTAGAACACCTAGACGAGACATTTTTCAATTTCGTCTCAATAATAAAACCAAAATCCAGTAAGTTACCATACACACTAAATTAACCAAATAAGCATATTCATAGTCAAGCAATCACCAAATTTTGCAATTTAAGTAGTCAGTGACTGGACATACGGAGTATCTAGCTGGCCTTAGTAAGAACGTACGTGCTCAAAAATAAAATTATTTTGATCCAAAAGAAGTGCTATCTAATGAGATGTGTCTGTTCAATAATGAATGCACTAACAAATCGGTGTTACTGGGAGCATGGTGACTGCACTTTTATCAGGTAAGACGGACAAAATCCATATAAATTGCTGTCATACAAAAAATAATCAATTAATAATGAGAGGAGAGCCCCATAACCTTATCATTTTTGCAGCCCCAAATCCAAGTGTATCATGGAAAAGATCTTCCATGTATTTCTGTTTTACCAGCAACTGAAGCTCTGGGTTATTATATATTGCTGAAAGATAAGCTTCGCCAGGACCATCCTGGTACTTATCCCAAAGGGCAGTAAACTTTCTGTAGAAGAGGTTCCAAGTATCTGATATTGTTTTCAAAATCCACTCTTTATACAGCTGATAACAAGTGAAATTTTTGTTAATTATATAATAAATTGAAAAAAAAAAAAAAGATTGACAGCCAAATGACAAATTGCAATATGCGCATACATGCATTCCCTATTTCCGAAATTTTAACTAAAATATTCGAAAAATAAAAAGGGAATAAACAAGAATTGTTTATAAAAAGAAAAAAAAAAGCATTTTTTATAGCCTTGAATGACACAAAAGCCCCTGACGTATAAAACAATGCAAACATGATTTGAAATTAAAGAGAAAGAATTTCACTAGTGTTATAAATGTGTTATGCGCAGGCATCACCAGAAAGTAGGGTTAGTAAATTGTAGGGATGGAAAATTACTTTACGATCAGACCCTTCGCGTGCATGTCCGTCTTGAGAAAAATAAGCTAAAATCAGGTTTCCAATAAAAGCTCCAATATCAAATCCCATTGGCGCATAGAAAGAAAATTCAGGATCTATCAGTTGAGTTGAGTCTTTGGTAACCATGACCGAACCTGTATGGAGATCACCGTGTATAAGAGCTTGGGTTTTCTCACAGAACCTGAGTTAAAAGAAGATATCCAAAAACGCTGTGTGATTGAGCTTGGCATATACATCAAAAAATAGGAAGGCATAAGTATTATTGAAAACACAAAACAAAGGTGCTAAAATCAGATCTGCCCCATCACAGTACCCCCTTGGTATTTGTTTCTACTACACAAAATGCACTGTCAGGACATCGTTTGATAGTTCAATGGAAACTAAAAGTCTCAAGGGAAAATTCACATTTCACAGTTAACCATATACTTCCTCCAATCTTATTTAATTTTTGTTTTCGCATGGAAATCCAAAATTAGAAAATGTGTAAAATGGACAAAGTCATCCTTATGCAATCCCCCCACCCCAACCCCCGAAAAAATCCGTAATACCTTTCTGGACGACAATGATGCCAAAAATTAAATTGAAAAGATTAAATGGAGAAGTATTTCTTTGTAATTAGGTAGTGTAACTACTGTAATCAACCCCAGACAAGAAAATAAAAAAATAGGGCACAGTACTTGGATTTTAGCTCAGCAACTTCAAGTTTCAAAATGTTGTCCTCTCGAACTGCCTTAGCATCATCATCAAGGTAAGGAGTTGTCCAACGGTTATACTCAGATACTTTGTAGGGATCCGAAAAGATAACCTGTTCAGTAAGTCTGCATAACTCCACATTCCCACAATATTTAGCAACTGCAAAATAATGAGATGCCAATTAGAAAATATGACCAGGCATTTAGAGAACCCCCTCTCTCAAACTCACATAAAAATATACAGAAAAGCGAAGGGAATAAAAGATGCGGCCAAATTGCACGGTTCTTTCCAGAATAACAAGCCTAAATAATAAATTTGTAAGCTTATTGAATCACGTTGTAGCTAGACCAAATCTAAGAGGCTGTACTTGAAACTATCACTAATAGAACTAGCTCATCGGAGACTTAAAACATGTCATAGTTACAAAGAACAATGTGAAATGACCATCAAATGAAACTTTGCAATATCGAGATTGCAATAAAATGATGTATTTAGAATTACATGCATCATACAATCTCAAAGCAGAACAATTGCTACCTGCACTCTTATGTTCTGTAGTGGTCAGATAAAGTAGGGAAGTATAGAACAGTGTCCTTGACATATACTCAGACACATGTTCCGCAAGCAATGGATACTCAGTACCAGAAATTAGCCCCTTCCTTAAGATAATGTGAGGCGGCTCAATGTAGCGCATGCCAATCAAACACATTGCCCTGTCAAAATGGTACACCTCGGGAACATGATCTGGACAGAGCTTGCCATGTTCTAGTAAAGTTGATGATTCAAAATAGGCACGCTCTTTAGACATTGGCCAAGATTCCCCTATACAGCGAACATATGGCAGAGCCTGCAAAATATTTATAAACGGTATAAGAAAACAAATAAGTTAGAAATTCCCCTTATTCGACACTACCCTTGGGCCTGATCAAGATTTAGTGCAATGTGTATGCTTGAGAGCACATTGCAAGTATGCAATTGGATAAGTGATTCTCGAAAAGTGCGCCAAACATCTACTGTGTTGAGGATGGAGTTTCTAAAAGGGCCAACACGAGCACTATACGTAAGAAGTTGCTAAGAGAATTATTGAACTGTTTGGTGACACCAATCGAGCACAAGCGACTCAATAGAAATTACCCACATCAACAAAAGCAATTCTAAATAATGTCGAGCTAAATACCTCCCCCATTTACTCTACAAGTAAGACATCGGCCCTTCTCACAGATTTCTACCTGATTTCAAAATCTGCTCGATTATTACCTACTTTGGAAAGGAACAACACAGCTAAATTTACATTATCACGTGCACCTCCAGAAAAGCCAAACGAAGAAACCAATAACCTATAGCCTCCAGATCAAAAATTTTTTCAATGACTTGTATATCAAACCCAATTTTGGAACGCCGCAGCACTATCCAGGAATGCTAATATTGCCCTCAACAGACCAGTAAATATACTTAACAATAAACATTTAAAGTAGTCAATCAGTTAATCACCAGATTATGCTCAGACGAGAGAATAAAATCTACGGGCTTCCAAAATAAAAGGAAAATAAAATTCCATTTGAAGCCAAAAGTGCGTGTCTACCTGTTTGACGACGAAGGAGCCCGATGGACCAATTACAATATAGACGAAGTTGAGATTTCCATCGCCTACTTCTCTGATTTCCAGATTGTCGAACTGATTACCCAGCTTCGCGGCCAGAGATGGCGTCTTCTTCACGTACTCCACCAATAACTTTTCGTCGAGCGGTCGGAAACCCTCGGAAGCCATGTTGGGAGTTGGCCACTTGGGTGTGTATTTTTTGGTCTATTAACTAGGAGCGTGAGCAGCTCCTGAAAACGGTGATAATATTATTTTACTATTACAAAGAAAATATTGCCACTCTCAATGAGTAATGCTCGTTCTGTGTAATAATGGGAAAAGAAATCATAGAAATTTTTAAATCTGTACTTATTAATCCCAATTTTTAATATTTTTTCTGCAATTCCAACTTCCAATCTAGCCAAATTTTGACTAGTCGTCATGTTAGAAAAGAGAAGAAAAATTGCAATATATCTACAGTTTCAGGCAGGCAGAGGCAAAATGTACATTGAATCTGGACGGCTTTTTGTATATGGAATACATTCACATCGCATAACACGTTTCATATATAGAGACAATCCAAGAGTATGTACCATTTACACCATCTCTAGTCCTTTAGGGGATGATTCGATATAAATTTTTCCAAAAAATTTCAGACCGTTTTCATCAATTAATTTTTTTATTAAGTTTAATTCAATATCACTATCTTTAATATTATTAACATAATTAAATAATATATTTAATTATTCTTACACATTACATAAATTTTAATTCATTATTCATCTACTCACCTAATTTTAGTAACTAATTATCACTTCACATCATCTCTCTCTTATTTTTATATCAAATCAATTTTAAATGTTTTATTTTAAATATTATTTTAATAAAAACTCAAAGTCTCACTAACAACAAACCACACCATTCTTTTTTAAAAATTAACCATACCAATCAAAATCAAAATATTTTATATCCAAGCATCCACTTACTCTACTCTAGAGTATAGAATGCAAAAAATTTACTTTATGTATTGACACGTGTCCAATGTGCATTTATTGCAGGACACGTGTCAATACACCATTTGTGGATAACTATAGATTGATCCATAAGTCGAGTCATCCGATAGTTCCATAGCAAAACCGTTACTTTCATATGCAGTCGTTCGTTACATTTTACTCAACATTAAATATAATAATACAAAATAAAATTTAAATACAGTTATAAAATCAAAATTTAAAATTATTTAACATAATAATAATTTTACTGATGTATATATTTTGTCAAATAATATTTAAAAATAAAAATTGTTAAAAAATAAAATTTGAAATAAAAAATACGTGAATAATACTGCTTTACGCAGTGTAATACTGTTCACATCTTGAGAGTAGTGTGAAAATATAGCGTAACATTCAAGCAAGTTTTTCACACTATGTGGTAACTCTTTATTCTAAAGCATGGATGGAGAAGCTCTTAGGTTATGTTTGGTAAAACTAGCGGATAAGCTAGCTGATAACTGATAAGTAAGCTTATAACTTATATGTGATTTTCGAGCTTATAGCTTACAACTTATGACTTATAGTTGAGAAGCTAGCTTGTTTGATAAAAGTGTTTGGTAAAATTAGCTGATAAGCTAGATGAAATAAAAATTTCAATGAGTTTATTTGAAAAGCTACCCGAAGAAGCTTATGAGATAAGCTCGAGATTTAAAAAAAAATCATTCTATCAAACGAAATTTATTTAAATACAGGAAACTTATAATCTAACCAAATAAGTAAGAAGTTTTCTGTACTCAAATAAAATTCATTTGGTATGACCAGCTTTTTTAAAAAGCTCGAGATTATCTAATAAGCTTATTTGAGTATCTTTTCAAATAAGCTTGTTGAAATTTTTATTTCAGCTGGCTTATCAGCTAATTTTACTAAATATTTTATCATATAAATTAGTTTTTCAGCTATAAATCATAAAAATTTGCTCAAAGATGTTCTTATTATTTTCTGAAACTAAACAATGTGTATAATCATTGCTCAAAGAAAAGTTGTTCACAATTTGATTCAAGCAATAATTGATTCATAGAAAGAGAAAATAAAGGAAAAATTTGTTCAGAATTGAATTCAAGCAATGAGTGATGCATAGAAAGAGAAAATAAAGGGTCCTACATATTCTACTTGCAAGTTGGTGGTTGATTTTATAATAACAAATGCAATTAAAAGCTTCAATAAACGCAATGTGTAAACTTTAACACAAAAAATTAAGCTTCAAATAAAAGGAGAA